GGAATATCCTGTTATTCTCAATGGTGACTACAACCTGGTGATATGATAATATGATGTAAAAAGAGCCCCTTATATTCTACGCAAAGCTTCGAGCAGGTCTGGTAGGTTTTAAAGAAGGAAATTGTCATGTATCTCCCCCCCCCCCCCCAGTTTCATGCAAATCAATATTTATCCACATACACCATTAGAGTGGGACTTCAACGTCCCTTTTTGCACAATGTTTGGCGAGAAAGCATCAGAACAGTGGACTCTCGTTAGGGAGTCTAGAGGTTAAGGTGTTCGCATGTCATTCAGTGGATCGTGGGTTCGAATCCGGATAGCGACGGAAAATTTTGTTCTCTAAATTGTTCTTCATTCACATCCTTTCCTGTTCTCTAACAATGGTCTATCGTCTGCTTTCGTCTCCACTTTCTGCCCCCCCCCCCACCCCACCCCCTCACCTCCTTTGCCCCATCCTCTCAGCTTCGGACTATTTCTGCAGCCATTCTACTGCTGCTCCTTGGCTCCATCTTACAGTTCTGTCTTTCAGCCACACCCCTGATCTTATGGTAGGAAAGATCTACGCCTAAGACAAGGTCGAAAAATATCGGAGGTACCGTGCGCAAGTTGTGCGCGTTAAAGATTTTAGAGAAGAAAATTTCTGTCGGTCTCAGGATCCGAATCCAGGACCTGTTAAATAATAGGCGAACAACATAGCCCTTATACAAAAAGAGCCCCTCGGCTTGCTATGGCCGGGTGAGCGGAGGACATGCATGGCCTCACCCACTTTTCAAAGATGTTAAATAAAAAGCAGATAAAAGAGGGATAGGGGATTACAGAAAACTAGCGATGACTAAATGTAGACAGAGGGTAGGGTTGAATGGCTTGTTTTCACAAAAAGGTGTGGTCGCTCATAGCAAAAATGAAGGAGCAAGGGAGGAGGGGGGATTAGGCGAGGAGAGGAGAGGAGAAGAGGGGGAAGGGGAGGATATGGGAAGAGATGATAGTCTCTCTGACACACGGAAGAATCCGATGCTCGGGCACCAACACACTGATGCAAATCTGTCAATGCCGACAAAGGCAGAAGTAGACTGACTGTCATAGTGTGTGCGCACACACACACGTACATACGTGCATTCATACACACACACACATGCACATACACATACGTACACACAAACACACACATTACATTAGAGAGAGAGCGATAGATGGAAGCACCCCCGCACACACACACACACACACACACACACACACACA